GGATCTCACAGAAAGAGTGCAATATTGGTCAAGAACAGGAATAAAGCTCAAAAAACATCGTGCTGAAAGAAACCAGACAAAAAGAGATGGCAGATTGAATGCTATAAGTTGCATTGTGCCCCCCAAAATATATAGTGCAAATCCTGACCCCGTTTAGGAATGGCATATATATAAATATAATTATAAGGCTCTCTCCGTTTCTCTGCCATCCCAAGTTCACAATGCCTTCTCCTGAGACTTTCAGGATCAAGAGATTTCTGGCCAAGAAACAGCAGCAGAACTGGCCCATCCCCCTCGTGCATTCAAATTGAGAACTGGCAATCAGATCAGTACAAGTCTGCGAGAAGAGCCACGCTGGGTCTGGAAGAAGCCCTCACCCCTACCCACCCCCATGTGAGCATGCGTGCCATGCCGCAGGCATTGAGCTCAGCTTACGAGTGGTCTGTCATGCTGAGTTTAAGCCTTTGCCGCTATTTGATCAGTGGGATTTGTCTGGCGAATATTCTGGTTTCTTCCTTGGTTTGTATGCTTCTGTACTGAGAGGTTGCAACTAATAAGTGAGGGAAGGCCATTGCTTGGGGAGGAGAGGTGAGACACGGAAAGAGCAGAGTAAACAAAGATGCAAAGAAGCACATCACCAGAACCAGAAGCCAAGGCCTCCCTAAGAACCAACAGAGAGAGGGCAGAGTGCCTTCCCCAGACACCCCCAGCCTCCTAACCGGCGAGCAAACAAGCCCTCCGTTATAGCAGGCCTGCATAGCTAAGGCATGGTTCCATTTATGTAAGATTCCAAGACACGCAAACCAATCGATAGTACTAGAAAACCAATCAGCGGTTGCCTGGGTGTTGGGAGGGCTAACAAAGAGACACAAGGCACTTTGTGGGGTGACGGAGAGGCTCAGTTTCTAGACTGTGGTGCTGGTTCCAGGAGGGGGTGCAGGTGTCAGAAGGTGTCAGAGTGGGCATTTGGAATATGTGCAATGGCACGTCAGCTATACCGCACTGTGTCACAAGCACAAATACAAACAGAGCCAAGCTAACTGTGAGATCAGTCAGTCTTGAGGCCAA